CCTTCTTGGGTTTCCACGGCAGTATCACTATGGAAGTAGATTGCCCCATTTTCCTTCCGAGGAGTGCCTAGTGGGTTTAAACCACCAGCCTTCTGGTTAGCAGTCAAGTGCCTTAGGCACTATGCTACCAGAGCTCCCATAGGTACTCATAGCAAATTCTACCATGAAGGTGATTACAATCTCATCATGAGGCTCTGTTGGTTCTGGGATACAATCCTTGTCTCAGCTTGTCTAGTCAGTCCTCTTTGGAGTTCCTGGGCTTGTGTGATGGTTATGTTTGTGTGTCAACTTGGCTGGGCCTGGTTGAGTGGCTAGGCAGCTGGTGGTAGTTATTCCCCATGATGAGACTGGCAATCAACTCCATGCTGGGATCTACCACAAGCAGCTGAGTAGCTGACTTTGGGTATGTGGTCTGCTTCCTGTATATAAGGAGAAGCCTTGTAATGGTCTCTAGCCTATGGCACACTTGGACCCTGCATGTAGCTGTGTCGTTGCTCAGCTGCCTGCTATGCTCTGCTGACCTTGGGACTTACCATGGACTGCCGTGTGGTTTGGTAACATTGGGACTGTGCCTTTTTACTTGTCAACCCAAGGTTCAGACAGCCAGCAGCTGTCTGAGTGAAGAAACGCCTCTAGCTCCAGTGGGCTGGCAGCAGGAGGCAGAGCTGGACCCCAAGGTTGAGGGGCTTTTACCCAGCCCCTAGAGCCTGGCACTTTGAACTTGGACTTAAAGCCTCCAAATTGTAAGAATAAACTCCTGTTTGTTAAGGCCATCCCATTTGTGGTATATTCCTGTCAGGGTGGCACTAGGTAATCAGAATAGTATTCTACTGTAAAGAATTAAGAAAGGGTATTGTTTAGTCAAAGAAGCACAGTCCCCCTTGGAGGGTCATAATGGTTGTTGTTGTTGTTGTTAGGTGCCATCGAGTTGTCTCCAACTCAGTGATCATATGCACAACAGAACAAAACACCACCTGGTCCTGCACCAGGTCTGCAAGCCCTGCTATACTTGACCCCATCACTGCATCCACTGTGTCAATCCGTCTCGTTGAGGGCCTTCTCCTCCTTTATCGACCCTCCACCTTACCAAGCATGATATCCTTGTCCAGGGAATGATCCCTTTGACAACATGACCTAAGTAGGTGAGGCAAAGTCTGGCCATTCCCACTTTCAAGCAACATTCCGGCTGCACTTCCTCCAGGAGAGATTTGTTAGTTTTTTAGTAGTCCATGGTACTTTTGGCATTCTTCACCAGCACCACATCTCAAAAGCATCAGTTCTCCTTCCATCTTCTTTATTCACTGTCCAGCATGCATACGAGGTGATTGAAAATATCATGGCTTGTGTCAGGCATACCATAGTCTTCAAGGAGACATCTTTGCTCCTCAGCATTTGAAAGAGTTCCCTTGCAGCCAACTTGCCCAGTGCTATACATCATCTGATGTCCTGACTGCTGCTTGCAGAACCAAGAAATGTGAACTTTGCCCACTCCAGACTTTTATCCGTTTATCATGATGCTGCTTATAGGCCCACTTATGATATTTTTTGTTTTCTTTATTATATTAAGATGTAATCCACGCTGCATACTGTAGTCTTTAATCTTCATCAGTAAGTGCTTCAAGTCATCCTCACTTTCAGCAAGTAAAGTTGTGTTGTCAGTGTATTGCACGTTGTTAATGAGACTTCCTCCAATCCTGATGCTACATTCTTCTTCATATAGTCCAGCTTCTCAGATTATTGTCTCAGCATATAGATTGAATAAGTACAGTGGAAGGATACAACTCTGAAACACTCCCTTCTTCATTTTAAACCATGCAGTGTCCCCTTCTTCTGTTCAAACAACAACCTCCTGGTCTATGTCCAGGTTCTTCATGAGTACAATTAAGTATTCTGGAATGCCTATTCTTCTCAATGTTATCCACACTTTGTTATGATCCACACAATAGACAAAACACAAGTCAACATCTTTCTGGTATTCTTTGCTTCGAGCTAAGATCCATCTGACATCAGCAATGATATCCCTTGTTCCACATCCTCTTCTGAATTCAGCCTGCACTTTTGGAAGTTCTCTGTCAATATACTACTGCAATCATTTTTGAATTTTCTTCAGTAAGATTTTACTTGCGTACGATATTAATGATATTGTTTGATAATCTATACATTCTGTGGAATCATCTCTCTTTGGAATGGGTACAAATATGGATCTCTTCCAGTCAGTTGGCCAGGTAGCTGTCTTCCAAATCTCTTGGCATAAATGAATGAGTGCCTCCAGTGGGGCATCAGTTTGTTGAAACATCTCAATGGATATTTCATCAATTCCCAGAGCCTTGTTCTTTACCAGTTCCTTAGTGTAGCTTCGTCTTCCTCCCTCAAAACCTTTGGTTCTTGATCATATGCCATTTCCTGAAGTGGATGAACATCAACCAGTTCTTTTTGATAGAGTGATTCTGTATATTCCTTCCATCGTCTTTTGATGTTTCCTGCATCATTCAATATTTTGCCCATAGAATCTTTCAATATTGCAACTCAAGGCTTAATTTTTTTCCTCAGTTCTTTCAGCTTGAGAAATGCCAAGTGTGTTCTTCCCTTTTGGGGAAGAACCTAACTCCAGACTTTTGCACATTTCATTATAGTAATTGGCTTTGTCTGCTCGAGCTGCTGTTTGAAATCTCTTCAGCTTTTTTATCTTGTCATTTCTTCCTTTTGCTTTAGCTCCTCTTAATTCAAGGGCAAGTTTCAGTCTCTTCTGAAACTTTTCTTGTTTTTTTCTTCTTTTCTTGTCTTTTTAATGACCTCTTGCTTTCTTCACGTATGATGTTTTTGATGTCATCCCACAGTTCTCCTGGTTTTCGGCCATTGGTGTTCAATGCATCAAATCTATCCTTAAGATGGTGTCTAAATTCAGGAGAGATATATTCAAGATCATATTTTGGCTCTTGTGGACTTGTTTTAATTGTCTTCAACTTCAAGTTGAACTTACATATGAGCAGTTGATGGTCTGTTTCACAATCAACTCCTGGCCTGGTTTTGGCTGAAGGTACTGAGTTTTTCTTCACCTCTTGCCACAGATGTAGTCAATCTGTTTCCTGTGTACTCCATTTGGTGAAGTCTACAGGTATACATGTCATTTGTATTGTTGAAGAAATGTATTTGCAATGAATAAGTTGTTGGTCTTGAAAAATTCTATCATGCGAACTTCAGCATTATTTCTGTCATCAAGGCCAAATTTTCCAACTACTGGTGATTCTTCTTTGCTTCCAACTTTTGCATTCCAGTCACCAGTGATAATTTCCACATATTGATTGCACATTTGGTCAATTTCAGGCTGCAGAAGTTGAAAAAAATCTTCAATTTCCTTATCTTTGGCTTTGCTGGTTGGTGCACAAATTTGAATAAGAGTTGTATTAACTGGTCTTCCTTGTAGGTGTATGGATATTATCCTATCACTGACAGCATTGTACCTCAGGACAGATCTTGAAACATCCTTTGATGATGAATACTGTGTCATTCCTCTTAAAATTGTCATTCCAAGCATAGTAGATCATGTTTGTCTGATTCAAAATGACCAATACCAGTCCGTTTCAGCTCACTAATGCCTAGAATATCAATCTTCATGTGTTCCATCTCATTTTTGACAAACTCCAATTTTCCTAGATTCATACTTCATACATTCCATGTTCCTATTATTAATGGATGTTTACAGCTGTTTCTCTTCAATTTGAGTCATGTCACATCAGCAAATGGAGGTCTTGAAAGCTTTACTCTATCCATATCACTAATGTTTGTCCTACTCTGATGATGCAGCTTTTTGCTAGTCATATTTTGAAAGCTTTCTGACCTAAGTGGCTCATCCTCCTGCACTGTATTGGATAATATTTCTGAGCTATTCATAAAGTTGCACAGTAATGTATCAAACAGTGTTTCTCTGTATTCATAAGGTTTTCCCTGGCCAATCTTTGAGAAGTGGATGACCTCTTTCTTCTTCCTAATCTGTCTCAATTTGTAAGCTCCATTGCAACCTGGGCACCATATGCAACCCTGCTGGCACTAGAAACACCAATGGCACAGCCTCAATCCTCACTGCAACATGCAAGCCACAATAGTATGACAAACTGACAGTCAGGTTTGTCTTGCTTAGCTGTTTGAATCCTCTGCCCTCCCCTTACCTGCACCCCTGGTGCTGCTCTGCTCTGTTGTCCCCTTGGCTTCTCTTTCCCCTGCTTTCCTGGCTGTTGGGGATGGGACCTGGATCCCTACCTCCCCATAACTGGATGCCTGGCTGCTACTCTGCTCTGTGGTCACCTCTGGCTTCTCACTCCCCCCCTTTCCTGGCTGGTGGGGGTGGGATCTGGGTCCCTGCTCCCTTTACCTGGATGTCTGGTTGCTGCTCTGCTCTGTCCTGCCTCTGGCTTCTCTCTACCCAGCTTTCCTTGGCTGGGGGGTGGGGGTGGGGCTGGGTCCCTCCCAGCCCTCACCTGGATGCCCGGCTGCTGCTCTGCTCAGTCAAGCCTCTGCCTTCATAGTGCTTATTAGCATATTAATAGCTCCTAGAGGATACACAATAAAGACTGTGACCTTCATGAGGTAGGGATAACAAGTCATCTCCCTTTGTTTTCCACTGCTTATCTACCACAAATCAGAGAGATTACAATAGATGTTCAGTAATTTCTGAATGAATGAATGTTTCCATCTAACATTTTTTTTTTTTACTTGGGTATTTTACGTGTTGTCATAGAGTTCCTATTACATACTACATATTTCAGTAGTGTTCTATAGAATTGCATATGAAAATTATTCCACGTATACAGTTGAGTTAGATGACCTGGGTTCCAAATCCAGCTTCACCTCCACCTTACTGTTAAACTTTAGACAGATTTTTAAGTTTCTCTAAATTCCAATTTGCTGTATGCAAAATGAGTGCTCAAGTCACACATCTCAGATAACAAGTGGAAAAAAAAAGTGATTATCTTCATTACCTCCTCTTACCACTTACATTTCAGCTAAAAAAAGACCAATTCGTTGAGGCAGATGAGATGACTGCAAATTTCCAGAAACATTCCAGGAAGTCAGTCACCAAGATGTTATGTAAGTTGTCCATTTTGTCTTGTTTTGTTTTGTTAGTAAAAGCAAAGGAATTGCCTTCACTTTTAGTAACGAGAGGAGTGCTGCTAGGAGTTAGAATCAGAAAGCCCTTGAAACAGGACAACATGGCCTGGTCTGCTTTGGCTTTCTCAGGCTTCTAGAACTATCTGAGTTTTTTGTTTGCTTGTTTTTTAACCTTCAAAACAATATGCTAACTTATACCCATGAAATACACTCTGTGTTGTGTTTGATAAATCACTCCACTCTGAGACTTTGAGCATTCCTTTTCCCTCTGTTAAATGAGCTGGTGGTTTTTAACCTATGTTGTTTTTATGGGTTCCGATGAAAGTTGTGGATTCTCCCCCACAAAATTTACAAATTCACATACATATACATTTTGCGGGAGCTCTGGTAGCATAGTGGCTAAGGCACTTGACTGCTAACCAGAAGGCTGGAGGTTCAAACCCACCAGCCACTCCTTGGAAGGAAGGTTGGGCAATCCTACTTCCATAGTGATACTGCCTCGGAAACCCAAGGAGGGGTCGCTATGAGTCGGGTCCGACTCGACGGCACATAACAACAACAACAACACACATTTTGCATTCCTTTCTATGGGATTATGAGCCCCTTGAAGGGTGTAGTGCATAAGACATTTGACTGCTAACCAGAAGCTTGGTGGTTCATCCCCACCAGCCACTCCTCAGATAGAAGATTGGGCAATCTACTTCCATAGAATGCTGTCACAGAAACCCAAGGAGGGGTCTCTATGACTTGAATCGTCTCAAGGGCAGCGAGTCTGGTTTTTTTTTGTTGTTGTTGTTGTTGTTGTTTTTTCAAATTCATCCATGGGCTTCCTAGAGTCTTTGAATTCTAGGTTAAGAACATCTGGACAAGACTACCTTTAAGTATTATTTCTATATCTGAAATCGTATGACCTTGTGTAAAACAATAGAACTTTTGTATACACAAAAATGTTTTTAAAAGACATTTAGGTTCCAATTCACATGATATGTGATCCATTATGATTCCATGAGACATACCGATGAGTGAAAGGAGGTTAAGAATATGGTTCCCAAGGCAAAACCTATGATTTGGAAGAAAAGAATCCTCTAGGCTAATATGTGAAATGTTCACTGTAATTGTGTTGTATTGGTGAGCAATAAAACTGTGAAATCACTGAAGTTTATATTTTTGATTCTAATACTCATCTTTTGGGAATTATTTTAACATCTAATGGCACATGTTACTCTGTGCTAAGTAACATAGCAGCTTCATTATCTCTCTTCCTTTCCACTGGATTAGAATCTACTCTTAAAAGACTTGAAGCTTTTTGGCAGTAAAGTCACAGTGATAAAATATACTGTAAAATTTGCCTTTCAAAGGTGGGATTTAATTTTAAAAGGAATTAACTTTTAACTAAAGGAATCTGTAGACAGTGGTGAGCAGAAGAACATTTTCTTTAGGGGTAAACTCAGAAGAACATTCGCGATATCCCTGAAACAATACCAAAAGGGCAGACATCTTACTCTGAATTTGTTTAATGATAACCAGAAATATGTGTACTTTCTATTATGGGAAACTTCAAACATGCACACAAGTAGAGAAAATTGTAAAATAAACTTCCCATGTTCCTATCACCCAGCTTCAAAAATTATCAACTCATAGCTAATCTTGTCTTATCTATAACATTTCCCCCACCCCCTAAGATGATTTTTGTCAGGCAAATCCCAGATATCACATAATGGCAAAGAAAAGTACTCTACAACTTCAGAAGACAAATAATAATAACAATAATAATAAAAATGCATATTTATATTTGTGGAGATTAAATGCCCCAAAGAAAAACTATAGTAGCACCAAGCTTTATATTGGGAGCTGAAAAAAAAAAAAAAAAGGAAAATAGAAGGAATTCTGTGCAATTTACAACATAACATACACATTCCCGTGCCAATCAAAAGACACTTGTAAAGGAATAGTATGTTAGTGATTGCTCACTCTTTCTCTCTCTCCTCCACCATCCTGCACAGAATTTTCAATGATTAAATTCAGAGACATAGTTATTGTAGAATAACAAGTTGAATCTATGCATAATTAGTGGTTTGTTATTAATCTGTGACTTTAAAGAATACCAACTAGTTGAACCCAATCATTTCATTTATATAAGTAGTTTATGTAGTTCTAACAGTTTACAAGCCACATATCTTATGTTCCACAGTAGATAGAGTATTTTCAGAACTTCAAACAAATCCAATATAATTTCAAACATTCTAGAGGAAGCTACATTATACAAGAAATCTTGTACAGGCATATGGAAAAGTGATCCAAAATCCTATAAACTTTTTTATTACATTTAAAAACTCTATAGTTAGGATCTTTAGGATTGAGTTTGCCTGAACAATTATAGCTTAACAAAGATGTAGACAAAAGTGAGAGCAAAATGTTAGAAGGAATGAATAGAGTGGGTATTGTATATATATCTTTGCTTTGACTTGCCTTTTATTCTCCCATTCATGATCCTTTCCAGTTGTCTTGGTCTTAGTATTTGCTATCTGTTGGACCCCATTCCACATTGATCGACTCTTCTTCAGCTTTGTGGAGGAGTGGACTGAATCCCTGGCTGCTGTGTTCAATCTCATCCATGTGGTGTCAGGTAAACACTTAGCTGGTGGTTGAATGGCAAGGGTCCAGGTGAATACAATTTCTTCATCTTGCTTAAAGCAGTAGGTTTTACCTGAGTTTGTCAATTTCTCACAGGGACTTACTATTTTATAATTTTCATTAAAGATACTTTATTTATTCAAAACCTGACTAGATATGTTACTGATACAAATGATACATCAGATCACTATTGTAGAGGCTACTTCATTGAAGATCAAAACTCCAAGGATGGTGATTACACCAGGGAATGGTCTAAGGAGGGATTCCTTCAAATTTCCTTCCAATATACATGTGATTTAATTTGTTCTTTTTTTATTAAACATTCATGCCCTAAAATCCCATATTGCCTTCAGCTGATGTTAGATTACTGTAAAAGCCAACCAAAGGGTATTCATGCAGCATCAAGACCTGCTTTTAGCCTTATTTACTGGTTCATAGAACATATCATAGAATGTATATCAAATGGTAGAAAGATCAGAATCAGAGGACTTGTATTTGCACTCCAGTTCTACCCTTAATATCTTGGGTGATCTGTAGCACATGGCTTCCTTCATCCCAAAGTTCCTCATGTGTAAAATAGCAATAACATGTGCTCTATGCATATTATACACTGTAGTAAAAAGCAAACAAAATGAAGTGTATTCAAGAGCTTTTTAAACTGTAAAAATGCTATATATCTTTCTATAATAGTCACTGCAAAACTGTTAAGTGGATATTATCAGCAATTTTTTCAGCTGAAGAAACAGTTCCAAAAAAGGAGTGACTTACTCAAAGCTGGCAAAGAGTTGAAATAGGGTTCATGGCCAGGCCATCTAACTTCAAGTTTAGTATTCTTTACACTAAAACAGAACAGAGAATGGACACCCAGCTCACTGTTTCTCAGTGAGTGTGACTGTTAGCCTTAAGTTCTGACCACTTTTGTCACTCTGTTTCTGTTAGTCACTGTGGGCAATTTGGGTTATCAAAGACATGGTCAGAGAGAAAAGAGAAGATCAATTTATGCAAGTTAAGGGTCAGATGTTGTGTACAAAGCAAAAACAGTAACATGCATTTGGCTGCTAATTAGAAGTCTGGTGATTCAAATCCACCAGCCACTCCCTGGAAGGAAGACTGGGCAATCTACTTCCATAGAGATATTGCCTCAGAAACCCAAGGAGGGGTCACTATGAGTCAGATTCAACTCGATGGCAGTGAGTTTTTGAGTGTATATTACACCTTTTATACTATCTATTTCTGTCACCCTCTGTTTTGTATTCAGCAGACCTTGTGTATAGCTTATGTATGGATATTAGTTCTTCATTCATGTTCAAGTATTTATCACTCTGGACTAAAACTCAGACATAAAAATATTTATAGTCTTTAGCTTAACCTTGTGGTTAATCTGAGAAAAAATATTAATATTAAAAGAAATTGGAAATCACCACATAAAATTTGACTAATTGACTACACCTCTCCAGATGCATCAAGACTATCATTATACAATTTCAAAATTTTGGCTTTTATCATGACATTATCCTGTTAAAATATCATCCCCACTTCTTATCACCAAGAAGATGAAGTCCAAACTTCTTAAACCCTGCAGAAAATGCCCCAAATGTCCTTTTGATCTTCAAGTTATAGTATTTCTGTAAATTTATCTAACTGGATAATCAGATATTCTTGTATATGCTACAATTATCCTGCACAATATAATAATCTCTGCCTTTGCACAAAGGAGCTCTGGTGGTGCTGTGGTTAAAGCATTTGGCTGCTAACCAAGAGGTTGGTGGTTTGAAGCCACCAGCCCTCCACAGGAGAAAGATGAGGTAGTCTGCTTCCATAAAGATTTACAGCCTTAGAAACCCTATGAGGCAATTCTACTCTCTTCTATAGAGTCCATATGAGTTGGAATCAACTCAGTGGCAGTGGCAATGGGTGAGCCTTTGCACAATTGTGCATGCTATGTCTTCTACCAACAAAGCCCTCTCCTGGTTTTCTCAACTGCCCCCTACCCATTTGAGGGCCTGGCTAGTGTTCCATCACCTCTCCTGAATCTTTCCTGACCATGATAGTCCTTATGTAAATTTCTATAGCCTGGCTGTTGGCATCATATATTTTCTTCTTATAAGATATTGCTTTGTATTTTGTGTTATTAATATTGAATTTAGGCATAAATCTCTCAAATATTTGTTTTCCTTCTCTGATAGGTTCCCATCTTATTCAGGTTTTGCTTTCATAGGTTTTACTGTATTTATTTATTGGATGAACTAACAGTCCATAAGAATGTTCTCCTCTGTATTTCTCCCTGACCAATTCTTTGCTCAGGGCATATGCCACTATGAACATCCTGAATTATATAAATGTGGATCTACACATCAACAACAGTTTTCAGCCCTTTACTGTATAGTATGTCAATAATCCAAAGGGTGTGTTGGACTGATATTATCATTCCCATTTTGCAGAGATAGAAATTGATATGCCAGTTTTTGTCTAAGGTCACAGAACAAAAGAGAAAATAAGAAGCTTGGTCTTTTGATGCCCAATCTAGAGCTCATCTTGTTGTTGTGTGCCATCGAATCTACCCCGGCTCATAGCGACCCCTCCTTGGGTTTCCGAGGCAGTATCATTATGGAAGTAGATTGCCCAACCTTTGTTCGAAGGAGTGGCTGGTGGGTTTGAACTGCCAGCCTTCTGGTTAGCAGTCAAGTGCCTTAGGCACTATGCTACCAGAGCTCCTAGAGCTCATCTTAGGCTTGGGGAAATAAAATAAAAGAAGAGTGTACCAAACAGGTAAATGGCAATCACAAAGCATGTGATGGAGAAAATAAATCTAGGAAATTACAATTATATAATAAGGTAAAAAATGATATGGTAGCCACTAAGGGGAAAGGCTAATTAGAGAAAGAACCTTGGGAATATTTCTTTGAGGAGATATTTAGTCTAGTAAAGAACCTCAGCAGCCTTAACTGATTTATTATTCCTTCATTACTTGCCATTTCAAATTATAGATTTAAGTAAAATTCCAATGAGATTAAAACATCTTGCCTTCCTCTGATACTAAAGCATCTCTTGTTAATGCTATGGGAATATGTTCTTTAATTAAACAAGTGAGGATCAAAGAAAGTTGCCAGACATCTCAGAGAAAGCTAATGTCAGCCTAAATTTTTCTAAGACTCTTTTATCTTTCTGTATTTGATTCCTAAGTACACAGGTGGTAGTTCTGTTCAGAGCATTTTGTATTCTCAATTAGAGTCTTGTATATATTATCACTTCCAGAAGAGCTAAGCACAAGGATTCTAGGTCTTTCTCAAATATTTATGCTTCTCTCTATCGTGTCAATCACTCAATTGCTTCTTAGCATATCTCTTTTGATCCCCCGCCACCCAGGTATCTTCTTCTACCTGAGCTCAGCTGTCAACCCTGTTATCTATAACCTGCTGTCTCGCCGCTTCCGGGCAGCCTTCCGGAACATGATGTCTCCATGTAGACAGTGTCATTCTCAACATCCCTCACAGGGCCCACCTACCCAGCGGAACACCTTGCTGACAGAATGCCACCTTATGGAGCTGATTGAAGATTCAGTGCCCCAGTTCCCTAATCAGTCATCCTCCTGCAATTCCCACATTTCCACAGCCCTCTGAACTGAACAGGAACCCAAAGCAACTGCTAAAGGGACCATTGTTTTGAAGACATGGATTCTTTCAGAGTTTACATTTCTTTAGTGGTGTAGTGCCTAAGGCATTTGACTGTGAACCAGAAGGTTGGCAGTTCAAACCCACGAGCTACTCCTTGGAAGGAATGTTGGGCAATCTACTTGTGTAGTGATATCGACTCAGAAACCCAAAGAGGGGTCGTTATGAGTCGAATTCGACTCCACAGCAGTGGGTGTAGTTTGGGTTTTGGTTATGCCTTGACACTGCAGATAAGTACAGCCCATAAAATATGACTTCTTATATGATGTTAAGGATGTAAGATGATTCTTGGAACTTATGTACCTATCCCTGGTTGTTATTTTTAACAAATGTGAAAGCATGACACCTATACTTTGAGTAATGTCCACTAGTGGGAATGGTTTTTCTTGAGTCACCCACACACTGTGTCAGGCTATCACTCTTCCCAGACACTGATCACTGTAAGCCACAGAAGGTAGATATAGAGGTGTTGTTCTATTTTGTAAAACTGGTGGGTACAAAGCTTACACAGTAAAATATTCACCCTACTGCCTAATAGACTGCTAATATAACAAGTTTCCTGAGTCCTGAAGCTTTTTATTTCAATAGTTCCCCTGATAACCTGGGAATTTTCCTTATAAGTACCATCTATCCCCACCATTCAAAACTTCAAACACTGATCAGTTATTCCTCACTGGGAGTGGAAGCAGAAATGCATTCAATCTAGAATATAATGGTGAAAAGAGGGAGGAGGCTGTAGTGGCAGGTCAAGAAGGATGTTATTGTTGTTAGGTGACTTTGAGTTGATTTTCAACTCAGAGCAAACCCATGGGACTGAGTAGAACTGCCCCATGTGGGGTTTTCTAGGTTTAATTCCAAACACAAATTAGTTGTTTTTCACAAGTTACTCTAAACCTGGATATCTTGTCTTACTTCGTAAATAGACAGACATGTGGTCTACTATCTCCAAATATTTAAAAGACAAGTCAAATGGTAATTACTAGTCTCAAACCTATTACTTTCACCTCCTTAATTCTTCATTACTGATGTACTTCATGCATAATATGGACAAAATCTATTTCAGATTCCCCTCCCATTATATCACCTCAGGTAATGTATAGTCTATTCATACTGGATTACTTGCTCTTCTTATGAAAATTTACCCCACAGTTTTTCCCAACCACATATCTTTGCTCACAGAATGCCCTCTTTATCTCCAGTCCCCATTCATTGCTATCCTGCCCATCCTTCAACATTCATCTCATCACAGCACTTGCTTCATTGAAGCCTTGCTTGATTTATTAAAATTGATGTGGTATTTGACTTCTTTGTCAGTTTATGTATCAAGCTTTTCTTCTACTCTGCTTTGTATTTCAGTGTTTCGTATTATTTCAATGTTTTATATTCTTGGTTTGCCAGAATGTACATTTGTCAAAAGCATGAAGTATCTTGTGATCACTTCTGTTGTTTCTGGAACCCCATCAGTGTATGTATCACAATGGTGGGTGTTCGATAAATATGTGGTAAAGTCAGTCAGCTTCATGGTCCAGTGTATTGAACCGAACAATAGCTCCAAATGGCACCATGTTAAGAACCACAAAAAGTAAGATTATGTTTGTGATGAGGATACCTGACTGTTAGTCCGCCATTTAGTAAGTCCTGATTAGTGATTGTAATGGAATACCTGCTGTGCCCGTGGTGCAAGAAGGCCCTTCCTCACCCCAGGGGTTACTGATGCTGAAACATGCAAATTCTAGCTTTTAATCTCTGGATTTTCCTTAAATTGAATGAGTCACCCCATTGATAAATGAGGGTATTAGTCTCTCACATCATCATTTCCTAACTTAACAGACATCTTCAAAGTGATTAAATGTTTTTTAAAAAATTATTTGTTAATTACAACTCAATTTTAATGAATCAGAATTCTACAGTCATGGTTTGTATTGTTCAGCAGATTTCTCTGGTCATTTGAAGATTAAATGGAAAACATTCAGCAAAGCAAAACCTCAGAAATGGAGGAGGAGTGATTCTCCTTCTTTCCTTTTAAAGTAGAGATCTTCTCGAATGAGACTATAACAAGGTCATTATCCTTAACATCGCTTTCCAATGACCAAGACTAAGAATGATGCTGCTGTGGCTGTGAATTATGGACAGAAAAGAAACATTGAAATTGAAGCCAGTAATTTGTTTACTTGACTAAAATTTTGTTAGGTCCTGATCCATCTTCACAATTGTTGCTATATTTGAGCCCATTTCTATAGTCACTGTGTCAATCAGTCTTGTTGAGGATCTTTCCCTTTTTAACTGACCCTCTACTTTACTAGACATGATGTCCTTCTCCAGGGACCTGTCCCTTCTGCTAATGTGTCCAAAGGACATGAGATGACACCTTGCTATCTTTACTTCTAAGGAGCATTCTGGCTGTACTTCTTCCAAGATAGATTTATTCATTCTGTCAGCACGCAGTATATTCAATACTCTTCATCAACACGATAATTCAGAGCAATGATAGAAGCCAAATAGCAAAAGTATTTAAGATAACATTTATAAGTTAACTCTTCTTCAATGAGAAAGTGGCTTTTGAGCTTCCCAGTAATTCAAAAACTTAATGAACTGAGAGAAGCTGTTGTTGACCAGCAGTTAAAACATTTGGATGCTAACCAAAAGGTTAACAGTTCAAACTCAACCACTTAGCAGAAGAAAGATGAGGCTGTCTGCTTCTGTAAAGATGTAGAGCCTTGGAAACCCTATGGGACAATTCTACTTTCTCCTATAGCATTGCCATGAGTCAGAATTGACTTGATAGCAATTGTTTTTTTTTGGTTTTGATAGTGAACTGAAGCATTGACATTCAAACTGTTGCCAAATTAGTTCATCTAGCTCAAAGAGATGGCAGAGTTTTTTAATTTGAGACCATAGATCAATGTCAGGAAGTTCAGGATCCTCTGAAATTATATTCAGAATTATTTGTGTGCACTTGCCCCCTCCCCACCTTATCAAAAGCTTTGATAAGGCTGAGCTCCACAAAGTAGGCTGCAACTCAAATTCTAATAACTAATATTATGAAGTGTCCTTAACAATCTTACTTTTAAAATATACTCTTAATGAATGAGCTTAAATGAATTAAATTGCATTGCAGAAAATTTAAGGTATCATTTCACCACAAGAATCTGGTATATGTAAGTTTTAACTATTTCAGTAGTGTGCTGGTGACATGTTGGACTGGCTTGCAAAAGCTTATTATTAAATATTTAGGAATTTTTTTGAGCTCATTGTCAAAGACTGGCAATCTAAAATTGCCTCAGTTAAATATTTCTACCACCAGAAATTGTCAAACACTCCAAACCAACCTCCCTCTCCCCTTACTTCCAAGCCAGTGTATCAGCATACCACTGGCTATAAAGATGCTGGCAGTCTGATTTTTCACTATGATATATGTGATTTTTTTGTAGAATTGATGCTCAATAACAGTGCTATAATTAGAAACCACTTAAAGTTGTGGTTAACTTATTGAAGAAACAGTCAATGGATCAAATTTTTGACCCAGAGGTACCAGATTAATAAGCTAAACATACTAATTATGACATGAAAGCCTCATCAGCATTTTATAATTAACTTAAAATGGAAATGTTACCCTTGGATGCTTTCCATTAATATTACTGCAGAAAATAGCATATACTTCTTATCTTCCTTATACATCTGTTTTTTTTAAATATCCCACAGGATTCACTGTAAAAAAAAGATGCAGATTTTTCACATTCCCCTCCACTTGGCTGGAGATCTCATTTAAAAATATATATATATATGGAAAGGCACTATGAAAATATTATCAGGAAACTTAAAATTGAACTGTCTTATGCAAGCCAAACCAAGCAGACATCAACGTTCTATTTATCTAAACAATTTATTTTCTACTTTTTTTCATCCCCTTTAAATCATTAAATTGCATTTGAGCTCTACTTTAGATACACATATATGTTATATTTTGGAAATATTTTCCAGGTAATACTAATGTTTAGAAGTTTTAGCTACAATACACATGACCTAATAACTGTTACACATACATAAATTAAAAATTCATTGTGCAAAATATAGGCAGTAAAATTATTTAGTAGGCTAAAATTTTTAGACTGTGGTGGTTAAAAAAAAAAGACTACTTAAAAAGAAAAGCAATTTATTATTTCCAAAAACATGAAATTATTTGTATGTTAAAAAGCCTAATATAATGCATAAATATGAACGATTTGTGAGTAAAGAGATATTTTGAAAATACATCTTAACAATGCTTGAGTAACACATGTTTATTTGGATAATGTCCCAACAAAGGGATTACCTTTTATAATGTAATGCTTCTGTGTATGAATGTTGGAAATTTTAGTGTAGATCTGGACTTTATTGCCAATTCTTTAACAATAGAAAATGAAGGAAATTTTACTTCATAACATTCATGTGTGTTATCAGCTCATTAAATCTCACAGCTTCTTGAAGAGGAAGGCATTGTTATTATCTCCCCTATACAATTGGAGCTCTGGTGGCGTAGTGCCTAAGGCACTTGACTGTTAACCAGAAGGCTGGCGGTTCAAACCCACCAGCCACTCCTTGGAAAGAAGATGGGGCAATCTACTTCCATAGTGATACTGCCTTGGAAACCCAAGGAGGGGTCGCTATGAGTCAGGTCCAACTCGACAGCACATAACAATAACAACAACAACAATATAATTGAGAGAATAAGGTTATCCATAGTTTACCTTTGTGAAAATTAGAGAAGCAACCACAAAATCTCAGAGAAATGCAACAGTAAGTAATTATGCCTCATTCCTTTGTGATTCAGTGGAAGCATTCTCTCCTTCCACATAGGAGACTCAGGGTGATTCCCATCCAATGTGCCTTATGCTCATCCATCATTCATCTACTAGTGGAGACTTAAAGTTTCAGGAGAGTTTCCAGACTAGCATGGATTAGGAACAAAA